TTCAAAAATACAAAATACTTAACAATTTGTTGCACTGCAGTTTTAACGAGAAAAATATGGTTAACAACAAACTGGGCGTGTTATTTGAACTGTTAGCCACAAACGTCTAAACTAGCAGAAAGTACATGTTTATCAAGTTGACAAATACTAGTAAATAAAAGGGTTTTGAGATGCTCTGCCACACACCCCATGTGATATATTTCTTTAGTCTAATATGAAAATACCAAAATTAATCCAACAAAAATAAGAAAAAGCCAGTTTCCCAATCCAGCCATCTTTTTTACGCTCTTTCAAACCAAAGAGTATTTGTTTCTCAAGATTTGTTTATTCCTCTGAATTAATAGATTGAAATAAAGTAGTACATTTTGACAATAATTCAGAGCCATGAATTTAGGACAAATTAGAATAGAATATATCCTCGCCTCCATACAACAAAAAGGGTGCAGTGCAGTCTAATGATCATGCGCTTTCTCCATTGCACTTCTTCAATGAATACCGGGTAGTAGGTGACAGGAAAGTCTTCAGCCTTGTTAAGGCATAATGATAGATAGGAACGAAAGAACAATAATGATGATGAGGAAATCCATTCTTTCATAGACATATTTCTATTTCTAGAAAAATTCTTCTATCATTTACACCTTATTCCAACCAAACATCAGTAAAGCCACATTTCATTGAAATGCCAAACATCAATTCCCCCCTTCCTGCCAAATTATATTGATAATTGAAAGCATGTAGGATGTTGTCGTCAATAACGGTCTCATAATGTCAACATTGATCAAAATCTGAATATCTACCGATATTGAAGCACCAAGTTCCACTCATTTGAAATGTATGTTTCTTTGTAATAAATATCTCCACGTATCTGGGTAAAATAAGTGTATGTATATTAAACACTCAGATTGTTTTCTTTTCCATAGATATGGGATACAGCTGGTCAAGAAAGGTTTCAAAGTCTTGGTGTTGCATTTTACAGAGGAGCTGACTGTTGTGTACTTGTATTTGATGTCACAATGCCTAACACATTCAAATCACTTGACAGTTGGAGGGATGAATTCTTAATACAAGCCAGCCCACGTGACCCAGAAAATTTCCCGTTTGTTGTCCTTGGCAATAAAATTGATCTTGAAAACAGAGCAGTAAGTGTGTTTTCAGTTGTTTAGTGTAGTTTACTCTATCAACATTTCTGGCTTCAGTTCAAATAGTAATTGTGTAAAGGTTTGCACTTGGCAGTCTGCCCTCTACTGTGAATAATAATAGGATTATGTTACTAAATTAATTACATCATTGTGTATATTTCCTAAATCCTAGGTTTCGACCAAAAGAGCTCAAGCGTGGTGCCATAGTAAAAACGACATACCGTACTTTGAGACAAGTGCAAAAGAAAGCATCAATGTGGAACAGGCCTTCCAAACCATTGCAAAGAATGCCTTGCTACAGGAAACAGATGCAGAATTGTATCAAGACTTCCCAGATCAAATTAAAATCAACCAAGACCAGAAACCACGATCAGATGGCTGTGGATGCTAAGAAAAATAAGTGGTCTGTTACCATTACAGATTGTCCACTTTATTTTTCTGCATATTTCAGGGCTATTACACTAAAGTCTCTTGCAAGTCATGGTAACAACTTTAGGTGGTTTCAAAAATAAAATGCTAAATTAATTGCAATGAGGCAGTTCCCGAGAATTTAGATTTGCGGGGACTTCATTTCAAATTCAGAAACCGTTGATATAATGCATTCATCATGTGTACATTCTTGGTTGTCCTGCTGCTCCCACTTTAATCTAGCTTTCAAAGAATAGTATTGCATGAGTGGGAAATTTCAGTAAATGTATTACATATTGGGAGCAGTAGTGACAATTTTTCAATTTCTTTTTTTTTTGTGATATGCAAACTATATTATAAACATTTCATAGATAACGTGCCGTAGACATTATCAAAAAGCCACTTGAATTGTATCAGGATTGGTAACATACTCTTAGAATCTTTTTTTTTTTTTTTTACACTTAGTTCAAGAAATGAAACTGGTTTGGTAACGATGTACATGTAGTAGTTGATAGAATGGTATATTTGTGTATAAAGACTCCTAAATGTTATACTGTAATTTGACATATTTCACCAAGTTGCTGTATGTTGCACAGTATCACACAATTTGTACACGTTTCAACGCTGCATAGTTATCTAATATCACCAGTCATATGTGAAATGATACTAACTGAAACGCCATTGCCATTTCGTTACAAATTGTTTAACTCATAATTTTAAAATGCAAAAATATGTTAATGTATAAAAAAAATAATAGTGCTGGGGGGGACTGTCAATTTTGTGTATAAATGCTGCTTTGTATTTGCTTTTTTTGATGTTATACTGATTTCTTAATCTCTATACAAATAACGCCCTTCTATATTATTTAATCAATAAAACAAGTTGTAACTAAGATACAGTGATACTTTATGTAACTCGCCCCTGCACTATTGACACATTTTCTGAGTACACCTATTAATAATTCTACACAGACTTGTATTGTCAATTTATAATGTATCTGCTCCATGCCACTGATTATAGAAAGTGTTGGAAATCACACCAGCGTATTGCAAAGCTGGGTCTGTTTTTATGCAGTGTGTGTGTATGTGGCTGTACTTCGTATAGTATTGCTTACATATTTAGTTTATCACTTTTTTTTAAATGTGGTAAAATCATATCGGAGACGATACTGTTGCCGATATTATGTAAACGAAGCTTTTAGTTGGCTTGACTTTTCCCCCTGCTGTTTGTCAGAAAATATTCTAAATATAACTAGCAATCAAGTTGTGTATTTTTGATTGCCTTAACTCAATGTAATAATAAAGACATCCTTTCAAAATCTGTTTGTTTTTATTTTCCCATTCTTTGGAATCTATCCAGGGACCATAACCTTTGTATTATGTTGTCCAATTTATCTCAGTAAATTGTAGTCTGCATTTTCAGTGTCGAAGCTACAGAGGCATCTGCCTGCAGTCCACATTAGTTACACTGGCAATACCCAGGCAGTTTTATGACATTGCTATGGAGGGGAAGTAAACAAATATGTGGCTAAGGCACATAACTGTTCCCTCATTGAAACAGTGTCCTTCCATGTTGAGGACATGAACATGTTTAGATCATGTATTTCATTGCTGTTGTAGAACATGAATACCCATAGAATGTGTGAAAAATGTCAACATGCCTAAACTACCAGGTAAATCCCAAACTATTCACTGTCATCAGCACACAGGAAAATAAGAAGTATATGGGCTTCATAGAATACATAAAGTAATGTCATGTGTTTTGAAAAGTGTGAGCACATTCTGTTTAACATATTCTGGGTCATAATCAAATGGTTACTGTTAACCTGGGGTATACAAATGACAATGATGCCATCTGGGATCTCTATTTGTTTAACCATTTAACGTCCATTGGAATAGATAATGGATACAATGCACACAAAAAACGAAAAACAATCAGAAGAATCCAAGAATTTGGAAGGTCATTAGGTGACATCAATATATAGGAGGTATTGCTGTCTAGATTCAAAACAAATTCACAAATATTAACCTAAAGAAATTGACAGTGATTTATTGCATATTGATTTATATAGTATTCGGTAATACCATTTACCTACATGCTGATTGCATCTGTCAACATTTTTGAACCAGAACAGTTTCTGTCAGTCAATGAAACTATGTTAAACTTTTGAAAACAAAATTTAACAATAACTTAAAATTATTTTGAAAAAACGGTTTATAAAGTTTTCCTATTGTTTTTATTCTACTATTGTATGTCACCTGAGTCGGCGTAATGGTTCCTGTGGGAATATGGCTTTCATGTACTGTCAAAATAAGTTTACATTCAGAGTGTGAATAACTAGCATGGTAGATTGTATGACACTTTACGATACTTGGGTATAAAAAGGCTCAGTGGCACCCCTCTACACAGTTTTAGCCACCCCCGGCGTACCACCCATGCAACAACTAATGTATAGCTACTATGAGGACCAATTACTTCAGCATAAATTGGTGGTAGATAACAGTCTTGTTATGTTAAAGGTTAGGCCAATTTTAATAATTAGATAATCTTGAGGTATATCTGCTCAATAATCATGTCTACACATACACAGTTGTCAAAATTGCCCCCTATCTAAAGTGTAGTTCTCTCCTCAAGAATGACTCGGGGTGGGGGAATGATATCCATGATCGCAATAAGAATAAAATCATAGAAAATAAACATACAGTGGTTTTAAAAAATATTCAGACTGGAAAAATATGAGGGCACCGAACTGGGAGAACAGTTGAGTAAATTCAGACTTAGCAATCACTGTCTTAAAATTTAAATAGGTAGACCGACAAACGACTTTGTGATTAAAATTTAACTATTTCGACGTAATTTAATTTATTTTTTTCACAATCATGAGTTATGATGAAACATTGCTTAATATCATGTTAGCAAACTATTTAGAAAAATTTTGTGTAAAAAGGAGCAACTTCCAGACTGAAAGCAATGATCTGAATCTATATAAAAAATAATATTAATTAAAATAATCTTTGTGTCCACATTTTGTTATGCTATTTTTTTTTAGAAATATTTAATTTTTATTTCTTACTGTTGTATTTTTATCATTCTTAGATATGTTGTATTTTGTGTGTCTTAGTTTAAATTCATGAAACCATACTGCTGTACCTTTTTGTGTCAGTGTTGTGTCAATAAAATATACTCTTATACGCATTCAGTGCTAGTTGTGAAACCGTGTCAAATTTGGCACGAAGACAAAATATAAGTTACCTGGCACAACGTGTTGGCGGGTTGTCTGTTACAGTAGTAGTATTTGGTGGACAACAGCTATGAAAATACTGAGCCTCTCCGTGACAGTTGTGCCAGACAAGACGAGCCCATCCGTTGTTCTACTAGTATTTCATTGGCAATGACGATAAAGTAATTTTACACGGCTTTTCCTTTTTACATTATTTGCTTTTGAAACTGTCGTTTGTCTGATTTATTTATTTCGGTTTCTTAGGGATCAAAATGACGTGCGATGCCAAACATATGAAATACTAGTAACTGAGTTTGTTGACGCCTTAGGGATTACAGAAGTCAATATAATTTAAAAAAAATAATTGTTAGATTCAGGAGATCAGTTGATAAATACATCAGTATTTCTTTTAATTCATACATATTTACTCCTGAACTGAACTCCAGACATAATTGTATCACCATAAATTTGTTGCCTTGTGGCAACATACATGTACTGTCCATAATTGATTAACACCCCCTGGCAAGTAGGGTAGGTGCAAGTCAAGAATCTTTCAAATGAAAATATTGTTGGGTGTTGCAATGGCAGTGGTGGGCCAGGATTTTTTTTTCAATTAGTGACGGTACGACCTACCTGTGAAGTATGAACAAAATCAGCCAGCCAGCTGGTGCAAATTTCTCGGTAATGAAAAAAGATATCAAATAGTAACTTTGTGCCCACACACAAGCTGAGTAGAATGAGCTATGTCTGAGGTGTTTTATTCCAAATTTGTAGAAAGGAGCATTTTTTTTGCTGTTGCTATGGCAATGGTGGGCCGATTTTTTTCCAGATTTTTCCTAATAGCTAGAGTGAAGGTGTGACCTACCTGCCAAGTTTGTGCAAAATCAGCCAAGCCGAAAAAATCACAGAAGAAATAATACGTGAAAACACTGGAAATCACAGACACACACACACACAAAACGACAAAAGTGATTGTAAGGGCAATCCTAGCGGAGCGGATCGCCAATAATTAATATTTAATTTTTGTTAGTGTATCTTTAATTTTATTTATTAAAATATGTACACATTATATCTAATTGGGGTGGAAGTTGCCAAGTCAAAATTATAAACAAATATTTTCGTAAATAATACTGACCGTGAAATACGCCCTTGAGAAGTGTTACTGACGGAATATTTTATATTGCAATTTCTTTCAATTTAATTAGTTGTATTGCAATGCATTAGTAATAATGTAAATATATATATATATACATTTCTTTATTTTATTGATGAGACTGAGTTATATATTTGTGAAATATTACCGAGGATATATTTTTATTTATATTGAACGATGCGTATATTTGTTAAAATTGAAATTATGGAGGTAGGGTGGAATAGTGTGACCCATGCAACATGTTCGTGCTGTCTTGTCTGTACATTTTTATCTTTCGTAAATATGCAATTTGTTTCCCTGCAACACCTGGTATGCAATTTGTTTGCTGATAATAAATATGCAAATTCGCTACTCAATATGCACGGTAATAACGCCAAAACTAGTTATGTCTTGCGTACACCCCAAGGTACTTATATTCAAAATCCGCTCAGACGTTTTTGAAATTCTGCTTTTATCCTGGCGCTGTGTGAGCTTTTTGCGAATGCTGGAGGTAATTTTTTTTATAGATATTTATTAATTCGCA